TTATATAAGCGTCACGTTACTGTATTTAGAGTGAGAGTATTTTTGTGCTTAAGCTTTTCTTGGCTCATGCTATGGTTCCTGCCTTCGGGATGGTGGTTTGATGATATTAAACTCAATTATGCATGCAAGCTCGACAATTTTGCAATCTACACTAGGCAATTCGCATTTTATTCTCCCGACGCTAAAAAGCGTTGGATTATATACGGATTTTGTAGGGAATTTTTTACAAAATTTATACCCGTTTGCGCGATACTGATTTTTAATTATTATTCCTTCAAACGCCAAAGGTCTTTATTAGATTGGAAATTGAAACACACGGTTAACTCAGTTTATCTTCTGACCGCATCCATTACAAGCAGGATGATAACTAGTCGGGCGATAAAAATTAATAATCTTATCCCTGTAGCAACACCGTCAAAGGTTTCTGGAACCATGGAATCCTTAGGGGATTCTAGCAGTATTCCAAATAACAGGAAGTTTACCATAACCCGACTCATTCACTCACATTTGGTAAACAATCTAAACATGCAATCAAGTATGCAGGACAAGTCTAAGAAGAGATTCGAAAAAAGACGCAAAGCTTTTAACGTAGGTCTACGCATGCTATTCATTTTGATGCTGGAATTTATTATTTTTTTGTTACCCGTTTCGATATATATAATGACAGTAGACTTTTACGATCATTTACTAACAACAGTCGATTTCGATATCGCTTTCGCTACATGTACACTCCTAGAGTATATGTACGTATCTCTAACCTTCTACTTCATAATAATAATAAATCCGGCTCATAAAGAGAAAGTGGTTAAGGTTTTAAAACTTTCTAAATCGTACATATATCTTTGTAAATGTCATGATTATCTCTTGAGAGGCGTCAGAAAACTTTTCACTAATAATAGAACTTCACCTTGAACAAATCAAAATTTATACAAACGACCCTCCAATTTTAAATTGTAAACCATTATAATAATAGTATTTTAAATTGACTAAATTTTTTTATAAAAATTAATAAATTTCATAAATGTTGTAATTAATGTGAAATTAACATTGTAACACCTTTATTTTAATTATCTTCAATTGTCAATAATTAAAATAAATATCGTATGACCATAATATTTAAATGTTTTTATATAAATTTATTAAACATAAATGATAAATATCATCGGAGAGTTGGTTGGTTATAAAACATTTTTTTTCTAAAAACCAGGTTTTAAGATGGGAAAAAAAATTCATCAAATCTTTTATTGTATTTATCGTAGGAAAGTCAAATAAATTCAGGACACTACGTTTCATATATATATCCGAGTTTTTAGAATTTTAAACTTAAATCTTCTATAAAGTGTGTTTTTTTTTATTTTTTTTAAAACCTTATTTTATCTGAGAAACATCTGTGAATCTTAGACAATTACGCTATTTATAATTTACTTTTAATGATATTTAAAGTTTAACTCAAATTATCTCATTTGAAAAATATATATAGTATAAATAGATACAATAGTTACCTATCATCAATTATGTTAACCATGTAGCTGTATTAGTATAGGAAGACATTTTAACATTACTATTTTAAAATATTTTATTGTTCGGTTTTCAAAAATTTTAATGATTTCTGAAGATTAGTTCAATTTTTTTCCCCTTTCCAGTCTCTCTCGTGTATTCTCCAGCTCTAACCCATCATCTCATCGTAATCAATTTGTTAATATGCCGAAGAAAAAAGGGAGATATTTATTATATTACTGAAACTAAAAGTGAAACGACGGACTATAAAATTATATTTGTAGTTATGATAATCTTAATAAAGGTAAGAAGAAGAAAAAAAAGGATTAGTATTACGCCATAAATTAGCTTATTTCATTAAAATTGCACATATGATCAATATACTCATTGATACCCTAAAATCATATTATAGGTCGGGCGGGGGGCGGGACGGGCAACGCTGGCATCCCCTTCCTTTAGAGTCTATTGTGGCAGATATCTATCATAAAATAAGTGACACTTAATAATAAAAATAATTAATTAGTTTATTTTATTTAAATTGCATATATAATACAAATTCTCATTGCATCATTAGGTATAGTGTATAATCACAACAAATGTATTCTTAGTTCAATGTCAAAAATTTTGCCTTTGGACGTACCCCCTTAATCTATCTATATTTATGTATATTCTCAAATTAAGTTTGATCAAATAACTTTTATTTCCCAAACTATATCAATTATAAAAGTTTATGATTTACCCTGCCCAACGCTATCACCCAACAATCTATTTTCTTCCCTTTCAATTTTGCTTTATATATATCTTCTCATTACGAAATTTTGTGAATTTAATATTTATAGATGTTTTTGGACACAGCCCCTACATAATGTGCCATAAAATATAAAACAATTAACAAATATTTTTATTTAATAAAAAAAAATAAAACAAGCAGAATGTTTAAATGATGAGAAATCAATTGTTTTATATCCTGGAGATATTTATTTTAAAAAAAACTACCTTAATAATTTCAATTTTGGATTTTAAAATTGTATTTGAACACCCTTTTTTTTTCTCTCTTCCTTAAAATATTTCTTAGAGATAGGAGGAAGTCGTTATTTTTTAAAATATTAACTTTTACTAATTTTTCTTCAATTTCTTGTTTAGAAAAAAAATGAATTGGAGGAAAGGGATATGTTTTGGTTGGTGGGAAGGAAGGAAGGGGGGTAGGGAGTTGTGGGAGCAAAATTTTTATTCGCTTAAAATGAAATTTACGGAAAACGGGCAAATTTTCCTATGCGAAAAAATAAATTATGGAGAAGAAATGAATTAATGGGGATTGTGCATGTTGATTAGAAGTCTGCAAATGATAATCCGGTCCAGTCTTAGAATATCTTTCCTCTGAATCGTCTACAATTTTGCTGTTAACCTTTGAGTCATTTGTAATTTATACAAAAGAAAAACTAATATAAAATATATTTATTTAGTTTAAAAGTTGGTAGAAAAATTGTCCGAAGATACTTCAAACATGATAAAATATATTTCCAGTAAAATCGGGCTAAATTTTAAACGAAAATGTGCTCAAAAAATGATTTAAATGCAGGAAAAAAACACAATGACGTAAACATATATACTTTCTAATGATAAATAAACAAAAAAAATGCGCCTCTCTAATAATACATAATTCGAATTTCAACCCGGATTTTAAATATTCGAACCGATATTACTGTTTTAAGAACCGAAAACCTGAAACCGCTATTTTTATTTGAACCCGAATAAGATATTCGTTTAGGTTTGGATCCCTGAAACAATAAATAATTGAATTTGCAAAAATGAATAATCTTTCTAACCAGAGCCTGGAGAATTACATTTCAACAAATAATTCAATACCTGTAACAATATATTGTTTAATTATTTATTACTAATATTCTATATATCGTCCTTCGTCAACATAAGAATATTTCTGGATTTTTTTTTTATTTTATGCAAAATTACTTACTGAATTATGAAAATATATTTGGCTAGATAAATAATTTTTATGTAAATGAGATGATAAAACGCAAGATAATAGTAGAGATTTTATAAAGAGAAGAGAAGAGAAGAGAAGAGAAGAGAAGAGAAGAGAAGAGAAGAGAAGAGAAGAGAAGAGAAGAGAAGAGAAGAGAAGAGAAGAGAAGAGAAGAGAAGAGAAGAGAAGAGAAGAGAAGAGAAGAGAAGAGAAGAGAAGAGAAGAGAAGAGAAGAGAAGAGAAGAGAAGAGAAGAGAAGAGAAGAGAAGAGAAGAGAAGAGAAGGAAATAGCGGTTTACCAATAAATTTAATTCATCTACTTTCGATTTTGTATAAAATAAACTTCAATTTTTTTTATAATGCTATAATTACATATAATATTGAAATCATTGTTAAGAATGTATTTATTTTAATATATAATATTGTATATTTTAGGTTAACATTTTGGTTATCTTCATACCCGTTTTTAAAAATCGACTCAAAATGGAACGATTCTGCAGCACTAATATATACTATAAATGTTAACCCTTGTTTATTTTTAATAAAGTAAATATATTTGTACAATTTAATTTGAAAAACTTAGGGAAAAAAAAATTTGTATATATTATCAATGTTATGATAATATTATTTCCCATTGAAAAAACTATTTTTTTTTAGACTATTAAGATTCTTTAAGTTCAGACAGTTGCCCAATATACCAGGATATTATTTGAGAATTTGATTGGGACTCAAAATTTGGTCAAATGAGAGTTTACCAAATTATCAAGAGCCCAAAGTAGAACAAAAAAAATTCAACAGACACAGTCATTGCTTTGCTGTATGTGTTGGATTATGCAAATTTAGTTAAAAGATATTTATGGAACAAAATTAATTTAAATGATGGATTTTTATTTTATGTGATTATTTCTTCGAAAAATTATTATTTTAATATGCAAATACTTATAATGTTTAATGGCTATAAAAAAATATATAAATAGCTAAGAAAAATAATTATATTTGAACGGATGATATTTTAAAAATTAATTTAATAAAAGAATTACAGACGATATTTTGTTTCTTCAAAATTTGTGTGAAATTTAATAAAAAGGAAAGATTTAATACAGAAAAAGTAAGTCTACGATTTAATAAATTAGAATTATTTAAAAGAGTTACATTATATAATTTAGGTGTGCTCAAAAGTAAGTAGTTAGCCATTATTATTATTAAAATTAATCCTTTATTTTAATTATATAGATTTAATACACCTTTGATTCTTAATTAGCTCTCCCAATACTGTGTTAACACCCTGAGTTAATCGGACTTGTAACAGTATGTTTACTGTACCATTGTATATCAGATTAAAAATGCAAATTTATCATGTATTAATGTATATTTCAAAAATCATGTAAATTTTTAATACTTTTTATTGCACATTTAATATTTATATAATGGTGAAAATTAATGTTTTCCATTTCAGTAAAAATGTGAAATAATTTATTATACATAGTTATAATAATTTTATAAAATTGACATGGATAAAATAATCAATGAATGTAAAAAAAAACCAACTTACACCTACACAGATTATTTGTCAAAAAAATCATAGCTTTAAACTACTATTTGAGATTTTATATATTTAATCAAGATTTTTGAAAAAAAAGTTCAAATTTTATGTTCATATAATAAATCATATTTGATAAGATCGGAATAATTTCTGAGTGTCAGTTATTTCTTCATTAAAGGTAGATTCTAACAATTTTTCTGGTATAACATAAATAATGAATAAAAATTAAACAAATACTTATATTGTCATTTTTAGTATTCAATATCATTTTTGAATTATTATCCGGAATCCAATGAATGGCCTTTATAAAATTATTTTATATTATTACATTGATTATAAAAACCCCAAATTTAGTTAGTTCAATATATTTGTCAAAGCTAATAGACATTCCAGATTTTATATACTGGTCATAACGTTGCCTTAAATATGGATTTAAGAGAACAGTTTTTGCAGTAATTAATTCTTCAAATTTTTCTTCTAAGGACGACTTTAAATATAGGTTGATAAAAATATCATACTGGAATACTTAGGATTTTTATCTGGGTGGTAAGTTAGCGCCAATAATTTAAATTCTGTGTTTATTTGTTCACTCTAATTATTTTCTTATAAATATCATTTATTTTAAACCACTTACCGTAGACGAAAGACCACAATTTAATAATGTATAATAATTTGAATTATTGAGCATATTCTTACTCAATTTTTTTAATAATCATATGGTAAAAATAGAAAATATATCCATGAGGGTAACTAATAAAAATACTAAATAAAACTATAATAGAAAATCTAAGTATTAATAATTTTTAAGCAGTAAAAGATAATCAATAGATTCATGATTACTAACATTCCTCCGAAAATAATACGACTGCATAACCGTTTATTTCCTCCTCTTTAAATAATAATTAAGGGTTGTGCAAAATTTTAAGCTTACTGCATTTATTAGATTTTTCCCAAAATTTGTATTATAAAATTTTATTTTATTTTTTGGAATAGAATACAATACAGTACAAACTAGATATATTATTTAAAATTTATAGTAAAATATTTTCTGCTCAAATTGACTTAACATTAATCTTAATAAAATTGCAATTGGTTGATCAAAGAAAATTCCATTAGATATAAATCACTAACCTTATTAAAAGTGTAATTTTTGTCATTTTTTATGATCATGTGATTGTAACTAATGGTAAAAAAATGTCATATATGTAGATACATTTTAATACGGTCGATATTGGGGGAAGTAAATTTATAAGTAATTAGACGGGTCAGCGCGTACCCAATAGAGGGGCAGTGGGGAGAAAAATTTTCCCCCCCATTACAAATTTGACTGTTTTTAATATCATTTTAATCTAATAGCCCCGCTCCCTTCTCCTGTTAAAATGTTGCAATATCAATCAGTGTTTATTTTTGCTTCTAGTTGCATTAATAAATTATTTTACTAGCTCACTACTTTGTAGAGATTTACAAAAGCCAAATTTAGATTTGGTTCAGGTTATTGATTTGGCGGAAAATGTTTATGAACAGGTAAATAAGAATGAATGTAGATGAATATTTTCATTATATTTATCTAGACGATAACACTAATTAAAGCACCTAGGCTGTAATATAAATGTTGACTCAACTGAAGAATATTATAAAATATCCATTTTCATCCCATTCTTAGATATTTTTTTATCGCAAATTAAAATACGGTTTTTAGATAAAAAACATATCATTAGCAATCTTCAAATTTTACTATCTAAAGACCCTTCTTCTTTTTTTGATGTCACTATTGGTAAAATTAGTTAAATTTTATTAATATTATATTGATACTGAAATCAAGTTAATCAGTGAATTCGAATTGTGGTATATATATTTTCTACGTTGGCCATTTTACCTAAGCATATTGATCGGTATAAGGAAAACTTGGCTCAATTTCCAAATATTTTAAAGTTGTTTTATATTCTTGCATATTTATCTTAATACATGTACGAATGAAAGAACCTTTTCCAAATTGAGAAGGTTGAAAATTTATTTACGAAATACTACTTCCGAATCTCGGCTAAATGGATTAGCTGTTAAATATCCTTAGAGATTTGGTTCCAACGACAAATGAAATTCTTGATGAATTGGCAAATTTCCAAGGAAAATTTTAAATCTCATTATAATTTTAGTATTTAATAAATTTTTTGTATAATATTGTATTTGATAATAAGCTAGAAAAAACTTGTTTTTTAAAAAAATTTCTAATCAATATTTATACACACTGCAATTAGTATTTTCAATAAAAAGAATTATTCTATTTATATTGTATGAGAATTTAAGTTGAGAGTTTTTAAAGCCAGTTTTATAAAAATAAATGACACTAAATATTATTTCAATTATATATTTAAAAAAATTTTTTATTTAATATAATATACCTAACTTAAAATAATAAAAAAATTTGGTAATAACTTTTATTTTTTCTTTAAATATTTATAAGCGCGAATTAGTAAATAAAAGCTAAAAATATTATTATAATTATTATTGAATTATGAATAATTTAAAAGAATAGCTCAAAGATATGACCTGGCCGAAGACCAGCTATAGGGAATTTGGGGGGCGAAAGCTCCCAATAAAACTCCCCCCCCCCCATAAGAAAACCCTGGATACGCCACTGGGGTCTACATAAATGAGATGGGATTGTAATTGATATATAGTTTTAAAGGGGTGTCGTTTACTTCTAAGAGGATGGATGGATGAAAAATATTGGATGAGGGTCAGGGGGAAATCTGACATGGTGCCTCCAAATTATTTTTTTTATCATTCCGTTTTTAATAAATAGGCATTGTATACGGCAAAGATGTCCAAACATATTTAACCCTAACTAAACGTTGGCTTATACTTATGTGAAGGTGATAGTGTTTAGATATTTATTCGTTAAATTAAAATATAAACTTTATGTATCTAACTAAAGTTTATCTACGGAATTAAAAATAATGATTAAATTGTCTTTAAGTATATTTAGTATACAAGTAAATAAACTATATAAGTGTTTTTTTATATCCAGATAAATAAAAGAAAATGGAAGCCCAATATAAAAGCCTCATTCTCATAATATATAAAAATACAGAGATTGGCCAGATTTTAACTCTACGAGAACAAGGTTAAATCAATACATGATCCCGTTTTTTATAATTGAAATCTCAATATAACAATGATCACTTAACTTTTGTCTACTTACTCAGTTTTTTAATTAATGATAAAAGTTGTCTGTAGAATTGTTTTTTTTGGGGGAAAGGGGTGGGGGTGGGGGGGGGGGGGATTTATAGGTCTTGTTAAAATTAATTACTAATGGTCAAAAATTACAAAAACTTAAATTGAACCAATAATAATCAAATTAAAATCTAAAATAATATATTGTAAGCCGAGATATTTATTTAACCATAATTTCTTTTTAAGGCACACCCATATATTTTGCAAACTAAATCTATTTTTTTTAAATTTGGAATCTCTCAATGTTAAATAATTTGCCAAAGTGATTTTTAAATTTGAAAAATATTATTTTGGCGAAGATATTTTTTAACATGTATTGAATATAGCCAGATCATACTTTTCACATTAAAAAAAATTGAAAGATTTAGAATCTTTATGTGTTCCAGAAAAACTTAAGATATATACATTTTATAATAATAATTAAACAAAGGGGCAATTATGATGTCATTTTATCCGAGCAGCTGTATTGCTCTTCATGATTCTAGATAGCAACACAAGTTTAACCATCTCTACTTTTTAATTGTCAAATTTAAATTAAATTGTTTGTTTTATTTAAAAAAATTATATATGCTCATTGACATATATAATACCTAGACTGACGATTCATTCATTAAAAGTTTACATCAATGTAAATCAGCTGGAGACGCCATCTTGGTTACACTAATCATTATTAAAATTTTAAACAAGAGCCTTATTTATTCCTATATCTGATGCAAACTTTATTAAAGAATTACCGAATCATCGAGATAATAAGGAAGCAAGTTATCAATTTAATAGTGGTTTTTAACATGAGAATAATTACTATATGTATTACCAAAATGGCGGGTCCAGCTAATTTGCTTTTAACGACGCATAAAAATGAATGAATGAATCGTCAGTCACGTATTATATGTCATTATATGTGCTTTAATAATCGTGATGTGTTTTTTATATGAGCACCTCACCTTTATTTTATTCGTTTTAATATAAAAAAAATTACTTGTGTGAAAATAAAGAACTTAAATATATTTTAATTTTAAAAAATATTGAAATTAAAAACAAAAGTAATCTTGTTTCACTACATTATATTTTAGTTTGGACATTGGATTAGAAGTCTGTATAACCAAATTATTTCGATTTTGCACGGGCCGGCCCGTTTCCAATATTTTATTAAGGCTGAGGACAGTTTTTTTTCCAAATACAAGCCCTTAACCCCGAAACATATGTAGTTAAACACTAGTGAAGGTCAACGGTCCGGTCCTATCGGTCTTAGACCGGGATCGGACCAGGCCGATTGTCGGACCGATCTTTTTCTTGAGGACCGTGGCCCGGACCGGTCTTTTTATTTTTTACAGTCCAGACCGCTGTCCGGACCGGTCTTTTATTATTGTTTAAGTTTGCTTTACTATACAATTAATATAATATTTTTGTATATTTTATTTTATGATATTTTTCTAGAGGAGTCATTTTAGATTTTGTTAATTTTTATTTTACAATATGAAAACCATAAGTTTGTCCAAGAAACATTTTACTTATAGTCCCAATAAAAACTTAGAGTATGTGTTCACTGCAGTACCAAATTTAATGTATCGTCAGCACCTAGTAACAAAATAATATAATTTTTTAAGCAATAAATTAATTAAAATAAGCAATAATATTATTAAAATATTTTAGTTATTATATAGTTCTATTTTTTTTAAAGAAACTGTCTGTATAATTTATTGTAAAAATTACTTAACCTTATTCTTAATAAAATAATTAGGTACCTTAAGCAGACATCTGATAAAACATAAAATATATACTTCTAATGATGAAAATGAAAATATCTCAAAAAACACAATCTACTCTTAATTTTAATATGCCCTCTACAAGCACAAAATCATTTTTTTCATTACCATTGGATAAATTTTATTGTTTATATAATACTCTTATATTTAATAAAATGATAAAACAAATCAAATTAGGTTAAAAAAATATGTTTTTTAAACAAATAAAAAGACCGGTCACGGTCTGGATCGATCTTTTTCTTAAGGACCGTGGTCCGGTCCGGTCCGAGGGTATCGGTCCAGTCCGGACCAAAGACCGGACCGTGACCTTCACTATTAAACACCAAAATAAACAACAATATATAATATTGTGGAGTGGCTAAATTCAATGACTTTGGCATTGGGCTAAATTATAAACATTACACTTTGTGGATTATCAGCTCTATAAATATCAGAACTCATCAACAATCCAGCACGATAAATTTTTTTCCTGGCCTGGCCCAAATAAATTTCCGGTCCGGGTCTAGGGCAGGAGATTTCAGACCTCTACTTTTCATTATAAAACAATTTATAGATATTATAGAAAAAAAAACTATTAAATATTATTTTGAGAAAAAGATACTACTTAAGCTTTATTTATTTATTTATTTTTTAAAATAATAATATTACATATAAAATAAACATATAAAATACATTTTTTTTACTCTATATATTTCGTGGAGTTTAAAAAATAAATTATGCTTAATTCAAAAAAAAAAATAAGTTTTTTATTAAAAAGTTTTTCTCACCTATCTAAATATTTATGATAATTTAATTAACTGTTTTAAAAAAATATATAAAAAATATGAAATCAAATCAATAAATATTTTTTTATTTTATAAATAATAACAATAATATTTTTTCCAAACTTACTATTCGAATTTAATTTACGAAAATTTCAACGAAAAAAAGAGGTAAAAAGAAATATTTAATAATTATATATTTACTGCAAATTTTTTTTTTGTTTTAAGGTTTTCTATATACGAGCTGTGTTCAATTCTTCTTAATTTTTGTTTTGTTTTTTAAATTCTAAAATGAATATTCGTTTCAGATAAGCAGTTAGGACACCTTTCCACTTTTCAATAGAGGATGATACCTCTAAACAAACGCTTACAGATAATTATTTAAGAAGCTAGCCATTTAAAATTCTGAAAAGAAAAAAAGAATATGGTAAGCCGCAACCTCATTGAGATTGCTTTTATTTCTAACTAAATATTTGAGATTCATTATTTTTGAAATGTATAAAATATACTAACCCAGCCCGGTCCGAACTGACCCGTTAAGATTTTATATAAAAGTCTCCCAACCCAAACCGTAAAGAGGCAAGACCAGGGAAGGGGGCGAGCTTAAAATCTCGATTATTTATATATATAAGTATAACATTATAAAAATTAAATGTTTTATTATAACCGATCAATGGATAATAGTGTATACATATCGTAGACCTTTAGCTAATTCAGGGCTTATAATAAATAAAAGCTGATTTTATGGGAATCGTATTCCGATATGCAAAGAAATAACTTATGAATTTCGAGTCATTTTTGCCAATAAATTTTGTGTTTTTTTTAAAAAAAATATTTTATAGGAAACATTTTATATGTATATATTGAAGTTCATTAAATTATCTGATATTCACGACGATTCCAGCATATAACTTTTAATGATCCCTGATGATTTAAGTTTTTAAAGATCGGCTAAAAACCTATATTATATATGTGTATATATATATATAAATTTTACAAAAAATTATGGACAGTTTCAAACATTTATGTTATTTTTTTTTAATCAATTTCTTTCTTCCTACTTTTAGGTACAAAAAAAAACTTAAACCTTTATTATTTTATTTTTTTTAATTTTAAGTGCTGACTTATGATAATAAAATAGCTTTTACAAAACTCCTATTTAATTAATTTTATATTTAAAATTAATCTATTTTATTTTTTTGTACTATATACATTATATTCATGTATTTACGATACGATACTGCAGTGATATAATAGTAAATTTCCTGTAACGTTAATATTGAAACGTAACATATTTATATTAATGACCAATTGTAAAATAATATCATAAATTGGTTAATCATAAACGTAGCTATAGCGAGGAGGGGGGTGGGGGGTTGTACTTAATTTTCCTTTAGATTATTGTTAGAAGAGGTGGGGGGGGGGGGTGGGGGTTAGTGTAAGATATTTAAGAATTTTGAAAAGAAACAAGGCCTAATACCTATTGGTTTAATTTCTTTAACGCTTTCTGATGCTTCAAATTCTTCTTTTTCTTTAAAATTCAGAATTCATGGTCAAACAAATCTCCTTCAATCATCAAAATGACCTTAAAAATCATTTAGCCTTTAAATATAATTAACTTTCACGCAAAAAAAAACAAAAAATGTCCAAAAAACTGTTAATCAAATTTAATCTTCTTGAATATATCAAAACGTTTTTTATAATCCACTGCAAGGCCATTTTATTTAAATCTCTTAAATATATTTATTTTAAAAAAAATTTAAATTAGCCATAAACTTGAATTATAAACATTATATTTTTTTTAATTTTCTTTATTTTTCTTATTTTTAGCAAATTCACAGGAATCAGATCTGTTAAACTTTGAAACAAGATATAACTATAATGATAATATTAATAAATTTTTATTTTTTAAGAAATAATTTTATAATTAAATTTGTAATCGTTATAATAAAGCTGAATCATGGACAGATGGTAAAAATTTTAAAAAATTTTTTAGGTTTTATTTGTCATATAATTTATTTAATTTAAATTTTTTTTTTTTCTAACGCGACCACCAATAATATTTTTCGAATTTAAAATTTAAAATTTTAAAAAAATAAAATAAAAATTGTGCTCGCCCTTGAATAAGCATTTATTTTAAAATAAGATATTTTTTTTAATAGAATAATTTTTTTTTTAAAAAAAAAATATTTCGCTTAAAATTTGCAACCTTTAGAAAAAATATAAATAAATCACAGAAGGACTTTTGACCGATTAAAAAAATAATTACGCCGAACAAATTTTAAAATTTAAATAAGATTTTTTATTTATTTTTTGATTCTCAGTTTAGCACGAATTTGCGGCTAAAAAAACACAAAAAAAAACAGCAAATTTTGTGCGCTAATCGTATAAGGGGTTATAACGTTTTCCTATTTTCATTGAACCGGATTTAATTAATAAATTTCTTAGATCCTTTGGGCCGAACTATTGGAAGCAATAATTATGAATCTTAAGACCATTTTTTTAATACTTGTTTGTTAGAGGCCGAAGTAAGGGGGGAAAAAAATTACAAACAAAAATATAAACTTTGGCCAACTTTACGTTCAAAGGAAGGTAGATTGAAAGCACTAGCGATTAAACTTATCATTCTTTTAGTGCTTCGTTAGTGGTTCAATGAGTTCAGTAGACAACATTTCTGCTATATTTTGTAAATGAGTTCTAAGGGAATTTAAAAATATGAATCTCAGCCCAATCCAGGGGGTGTGTAATGACAAGCCTGATAATTATTTAATTCCTCTTCTTATTTTTAACCTTGCTTGATTTGTGGATTATGATGACACGATTTTATCGGGAGTAATCCATTACGAATTATAATATTTTTAAAAAGATTTCTTGTTTAGCTTTATTTTGGTAGTTAGAGAGCCTGTTTCTTCACCTCTATATTAAATATAAATTTAATTTTAAAATTTTAGTTTCAGTAAATATTCAAATTAAGTAACCCATGACCGGGAAAAATTTTTTTTTTAGTTAAGAAGTAACTTTTGTTTAGGAAGGTTTATATTACCCATAGCATTATTCTTTTGGATCAAAACCTTAACCCAGGGCCCCTGCTAAGACTTGTGACGACCAGAGAATTGAATTCGGCGGCCTTCTAAAAACCCTCAAATTTTTCTAAACTTTTTAAGATAAATTGTAAATTAATAATGGACAAGATTCCTCATTTTTAAAATGTGATTCGTTAGTATACATGCTTCTTAGAATATCTTATGGCGAAATATAAATATTTTGCAATCTGATTTAGGTAATATTATTAAGCATGATTTTGTATAATAATTACATTTATAAATTATCTAAATGCTCAAGAAATTTTTTTTTTTTTGAAAGACCCCAAAAATAGTTTAATTTTGGCAGCTGCCCCACCCAGTCTCGCTGTTTGCACGGCCCTGCACTGGCTACAGCATCAGGCATTACAGGTATCTAGTGAATCTTATTCCTCGAATAGCCAAAATGCGATTTTTTTTTTAAATTGCCAAATATAAATAATTTTATCCAAAATCTGGAAAAATATAATGTTGAAATTTTTTTCTTAACCTTTCAAAAATATTAATTTTTTTTTAAAGCTATAATAACTGGATTAAGGACCTAAATTACAAAATATAAATCACCATTAAATTTTTCTTTTTTGTTTATTATATATAATAAGTTTTTTTTAAGGACATTTTTATAACTTGTTAAATAATGGTCATAAATTTTTATTCTATTGACCTAATAAAAAATATATCAAATATGATTTTTGATATTATATATATTACATCTTTTCTTTCTTTCTTTCTTTCTTTCTTTCTTTCTTTCTTTCTTCTATCATTTTTTCTTTCCTACTTTCCTTCCTTCCTACTTTCCTTCCTTCCTTCCTTTCACACTGTCCTGAATCAATGTTTTATATCCCTATTTGATCTTTTATATTGTAAATTTTGGGTGTATCATTTGGACAATGAAATTAGTTATCCTTACATAGTTGTTAAAATGTATCTGGGGGAAGGGGGGGGGGAGGAGGATTATGGATATTCATAATAAGCCCTGAGGTGGATTGTTGATTAAAAAAAATCATATTGCAACTGTCGGGGCCTAAACCACAAAATTTTAATACTCTAACTGCATTCAAAGAACCGAACGACGAATTGGTACCCGAACTGTTAAACTAGTGTGAAAACCATTTTGTTTATAAATTTATATACAAGTTATTTTTTTTTAAATGAGAGGTATTGTTTACTTTTCCCGGTGGAGAGAATGAGCTGAGGCCATATTTTTATTTCCATTTTTTTTAAACACGCCATCCTTTCATGTATGTATTGTTTTCATTATATACATAAAATAGCTTACCCGTCCATTTTTAATTAAAAATTTTGGGCCCGCCCGATGTTTAAGAATTATTTTATTGATTGATTTGACTTTTTACTTATTAAAATCAAAAAAAAAATTCTATTTGTAATCAATATAAATTAGTCCTATATCGGGGGGATCTTCTTTGATCCTAAGATTTCGATCAAAATTAGACGACATCATTATTAACACGAATTTTTTTTATGCAGGTAATCATTCTATTTATTCATTTAAATTTTGATACTTTTTATCTATTTAAAGAAATGATAAAACACTGAAATATTAAAACAAGTATATAAAAATATGTAAAATTAATTACTAAAAAAATAAAAATAAATATATACATTATAATAAATATCGAAGGCTCTAAGAAGAGCTTAATTAAAAAAAATAAGTATAATTGTGTTTAAAAATTTATAGTTGAAGTTTTTGTTTAAGAAATAAGGATTCGCGATTTTCGTTTCTATCTAATATATATGTCAGATGATTCCCAAGTAATATTTTAAACAATATTCAAGATATAATCTATCAGAAAAGTGAACGAATTTACGATTAAATGACTTTTTTACTATAATAGTTATAGGCTAATCGTTAAATCTAATCCACCCTCCCTCTCATTGTTTTATAAAAAAAATCCACCCTTTTGTTTTGATGTTTGAACTTATTTTTTTTAACTTAAATACCTAACATGTTAAATTAACACTTTCATCGAAACTTTTAGAACTTTCGGAAATTATTAAATAGCTCAATTTAAATTTCCGGAACTCCTCTGCTACACGCGCCCTAACTTTTCCGGAAATGATAAGCTGATC